ACCTGGAATCTAGGTTTAAAAACCTACTCTGACTAAAACACTCCAGGGGCTCCAACAAGACCCCCTCCCCCAGGCTGGCTCCGGCTCTCTGCCCGCTTCCCCGGAATGGCTTCTCCCTTCCTCTGTTCCAGATCCACCAGCCTTCTTTCTGTCCCCAAATAGAATGAGCTTTCTCTGGTCTCAGGACTTTGCCCTGGCTGTCCCTCTGCCTAGAAGCCCCTTCCCACAAACCTCCCCACCAGGGGCTAGTCTCTCAGGCCCAGCGTCACCTTCTCAGAGTGGCCTTCCCTGACCACTAGACAATAATGCCCACCCATTCCCATAGACACATGCCATTGTCTGTCCCACCACCGTCTGCCATCTGATGCTTCCGCAAATGATTGTACCTGTTTATTGCCTACGAAACCCCATGGGGGCAGGGACCCTGATGTGTCCCCTGAATCCAGAACAATGTCTCACAGACACCGAATAATTTTTATTTACACCCAGGGCGGCTCTGCATGGTTTCCTGCACTGGCCCTTTCAAAGCTCTGGGGCCGTGGGAAGCATCAGGCTCATTGACTTTGAGATTAATGACTGAACAACGGGCCACGTCCCCCTGGCCCACCCTCGCTCACCAGGGGTGGGTCTCCAGGCAGGAAGAGGGGCTAGTCTGGTGGAAAGTGAGGGGAGGGCATCCACGTAGGGGCTTGGCACGAGTCCTGGCAGGCACCTCTGTTGATCCCACAGGGAGGGCTCAGCCCTGGTTGGGGGCTTCCCATGGGCAGGCTCATCTACCTCCCACCTGGTTCTTGTTCTCCCCTTGAGGCTGGACCCCTTTCCGGGCAAGGAACACCCCCTCCCCTCATCGTGGACTCCTCCCAGGGCCTCAGCACGGGTCTCTTCTCTTAGGGCCAGGTTACAGATGCGCAATTGGAGGCTGGGAGAGAGGTGCGCGCCGGGACTGACAGCCCTGGGGAGGGTTATAATTCCACCTTCCTGGGAGAAAACTGAGGCTCAGTGATAGGAAGCGACCTCGTCAGGGTCTGATCCCAAGCGGCGAGCAGGGGGACCGCGGGCAGGGGTGGGGACCACGCGAAGGAGCGGCACAGGGGGCTGCGGCAGCCCCTAGACCTCTGTGGAATCCACACGTTTCTCCTGCCCGCGGAATCCTACTCATCCTTCAAAACTTGGATCAGCTCACCGGGTAACCTGTCCCACCCACTCCTCGAGCACCGCAGGCCTCCCCCGCGAGGCGACAAGGGTTGGTAGGGGTGGACGGGGTGCGGGGAGGGGGGCAGTAGGCCTGGGCACCCAGGCGGGGAGGTGGGCATGGGGGATGGCGACTAGATCAGCCACAGGTCACCCCAGGGTCGCCGGGACCACCACGTCCCCCGGGGCGTCTGGGGCCGCGACCTCAACCTCCGCCCCTCCCCCGCCTCTGCGGGCGCAGCGGGCGGGAGACGGAGGAGGAGGGCGGGGAAGGAGGAGGGGAGAAAGGGGCGGGGCTCCGCGGGGGTGGCGGGCCGGGGCGGAGCGCGGGAGTCCCCGCCGTGCTCGCCGCTGCCGCTGCCGCTGCTGCTGCGCCCCCCGGACGCGGTCGCCGACGCCGGGGCCGGCCGACCCGGGACCCGCGGAGGACGCCGGCCGCGCTCGGCCCGAGGAGCGGTGCGGGGAGCGGTGCGCAGCGTTGCGGGGTGCGGGCGCCCGGGGGTCCCGGCGCGGGGGCGTTGGGCGCGGGCGGGGCTGGGAGCTTGGAGGACCCCAGGACCCGACCGGGCCGAGGTAAGCGGTCACCGCGGCGGAGGCGGGCGGTGGGCGGGGGGCGGACCGGCTGAGGCGCGGGGACCTGTCGGAGCCTTTGTCTGAGGCGCGCGCGGCCCGGCTCCGCGCCGGCTCCGGCCGCCGAGTCCAGGGATGGGGGCACGTGACCCCGGGGACCCCGAGTCCCCCACCTTCCCACCCCTATCCCGGAATGAGCGGGCTCCCACCCCCACCCTATCCAGCATCTGGACCGGACCAGACCCCCACCAGCCCATCTGCGAGCGCAGGACCCAGACCCGGGAAAGGGGGAGAGTGGCCGGCGGCTCCAGGCCCTGCTCAGGGCCAGGCGCCTCTGCGTCCCCGGGCACACCCTAAGCGTCCTTCCATCCCGAGTTCCCTCCTGGAACCTCCGCCGCGCCCCCTCACCCCTTCCCCCTGCCGGTCCCCTCCCAGCTCTTGGGATAGGGCTGGAAGAGGTGTGGCCTGCGCCCAGCGGTCGCCTCCGGGTGGTCCTAGGGTCTGCCCTTCGCCTGGGAGCGCAGGCCTGGGAACCAACTTTGTTGCCGACGGGGCTGGTCTCGCAGAAAGAGCCTGTGGGTGGGGGAGCTGCAGCACCAAGGCCAGGGGCCAGGGCCTGGGGCTGGGCACCCTAGGAGCCAGCCAGCTCCTGTGGCCAGTGCATTCATGCATCCTCCCCGGGCTCCAGGAAGCGGGTGGCCCCAGGGTCTTGAAACCCACTTTCCTGTGGGCAGAGCCAACAGGGAGGAGTTGGGCCAGTCCAGAAAGCTTGGCTGGGGAAAGAACAGCAGAGCTCATAAGCTGGCCCAGGCACAGGGGGCCAGGACCAGCCAAGGGCGTCCAGCCAGCCAGGGCTTGGGGCTCGTGAGGAGCCCGAGGCTCGAGGAGAGCTAACAGGCTGGCTTCCCAGATGGAATTCAGGCTCCCTTGTGCCCTCCGGCTGGAGCGCAGCCCCTGAGAGGGGTCATCCTGGCCTTGGGGTTCAGACACCCAGCGTCTTCACAGTGCCCTGGGGCACAGTTAGAACCCTTGTCCACTCAGTTGCCTCTGAAATGGGGGGAGCCAAAGGTGGTCGGCCTGGCGGGGCTCCCAATAGAAGCTGGACCCCTGGACCTGGCTCTCTGTGCCTCAGTTTCTCTTTCTGCAAAGTGGGGGCATGAGCCGGGCCTTCAGGACTGCTGGGGTCAAGAGAAGATCCCTGACCTGTCTGTCCATAAATTTTCATTAAAGGGGGACCCGGGAGGAGGAGGGGCGGATGGGGGGAGAGCTGGGGCTCTGGGCTGCGGGCGTGGAGTTGGAGGGGGTGTTCTGGAGGGGCGGGTTGAGGCCTGCAGCCCAGGAGAGGTGGGGCAGCCTCGGGGCACCCCTTGCCCTGCCACCTTGGAAGGTGGTATCAGGGGTCATGGGGCCGCCGCAGGGGGAGCCAGAGCACCTCCCGGGAGGCGGACTGCAGGAGCACGTGGGGACAGTGGCTGAGGGGGGCCCTGTGGGTGGCAGCTGCCCGCCTCACCCGCTGAGCGGGAGGGAGCAGTTGGGCGGCCTCCTGGCTTGTCGCGGAACACGTCCGCCTTCCCGGGGGGCGTGGCCTCTGGGCGGGGCGGAGACCTCAGCGGGGAGGCCCGGCAGGTTTGGGGCGCCGCCGCGTCTCTGTGGGGAACACGGCCCAGGGGGTCGGGGGTGCACAACCTCCAGGGCTGGAGGGAGGAGTGTCCGTTGTTGTAGACCGCCGCTCTGCCGCTGGCCCCTTCCCCGGCCCCACCCAGGACGCAGGGTGGCTGGGGACCGAGGGTGTCCAAGCCTCCAGTTCAGGATCCTGCCTAAGGCCACAGTCGTTCAAACCCAGGCCAAGCTCTGTCCTGTGTCTTGTTCGGCCCCCCCCAGCTCCAGATGTGGCAGGGGGCCCGGGGCTGGGGGCAACGGGAAGAGCACCGAGACCAGAGGGGTTCACGCCTGGCTTCCCAGGCCCCGGAAGGAGAAGCCTGCAACCCTCCTCTCTGCTGCTCCTGGGTGCGCATCAAGCCGGGTCACCCCCGGATGGCAAGAGCAGAATTTACCCAGTCCCCAGGGCCCACCTGGAATCAGGGATGGTTCCAGCCCCTCAGACCCCCACTAAAACTCTGTGGGGAGCAAGGAAGGGGGGAAGCCCAGGGGAGGCACTCCGTAACTGGTCAGCAGTCTGGAGGCTGGGGAGCAGGTAAACTGAGGCAGGAAGGACGTTAGATGGGACAAGCAGAGGTGGGGGAGCTGGGCGTGGCCGGCGCCATCCTCAGAGAGACTCGGAGTAGCGCCGGGCACGTGGGATCCCTCGGGAAGCGGTCTGTCTCCCGGCTTCTTCCGTGGGTTCCCCCGTACGTGCTCGGGGCGGCCCAGGAAGCGGAAGTGCTAGGCTCAGTACCCAGTGCTTCCGTGTCCCATCTTTGTCTCAAATTCTCTACAGCGAATGTGTATCCTTTTGGCAATCAGATAAATTAATAAAAGTTGTCAGAAAAACAAACTGATCAATGTTTCAGGGAAAGAACTAGACCCCCCAACACCCACAGGGTCACCTACACAATGGGGGTGTTACTCCCTCGAGGATCAATCAGCTCCTTCCTTTCCTCCAAAGATAAGGGCTACAGCTTTGAGCTGAGGCAAGAGAAACGGAGGAAGACCAAAGGGAGGACTTCCTGCTCCCCCACGTGGTCGGCCCCAGAACGGTGGGCCGTGGTGGCTCACGGTCCCACAGGCCTGGGTCCGGGTTCAGGCCCCACCGCTTACTGCCTGTGAGATCGGGGTGGTGGGCCGGCGGGACGTTCACGCTGTAACATCGGCTGTCAAATGAGTGAATGTCGGAACCCCCTCCCAGAGGGAGATGGTTCGTGGCACGCTCGAGCACGGTGCTGGCACACAAGTGTTCAGAATATTTCTCCCCCCGTCTCTTTCTCTCCGCTGTGCCCGCTGCTGCCGCCCTCACGCGGGCCTCCAGCCTTGCTCTCCGCTGCAACCAGGGAGCATCGGAAGACACAAGTCACGTGACGTCGCTCGTCCGTTCAGGTTTGTGTGCCCCTGCGTGTTGTTTCACGGTGGGTGGGGTGGATAGAGACGGTGGTCCCCCGGGGGTGCAGGCTTGGCCGCGTGGCAGTGGGGCAGGGATCCCCTCCTGGCCTCCCCAGCCTGTGTCATCTGCTTTCCCCGCAGAAGGGCTGCCATGGGCTCGGTGGGCAGCCAGCACCTCCAGGAGCCCAGCGTGGCGAGCACGCCGCACAGGAGCGTGGTGATGAGCTTCGACAGCGGCCCGCTGGAGGAGGTGGCGGCAGGGGTAGCCCAGGCCCAGGGCAGTAGGGCCAGGGGCATCCCGATTTTCACGGACTCTGGTGAGTGAGGGTGCGGCCAGGGTGCGCGTCTGCCCCAAAGCAGGGACGGCTGTGGGAGCCTTTCCCGGGATGGGGAACCTTGTGGGGGGGTCACTGAGCCCGGGAGGCAGCGTCGGTCAGGATGGATGAGATCTGCCGTGGTAACAAACGAGCCCACCGGCCCAGTGCCTTCACTAATGCCGGGTGCCCGGGGAAGGCTCCATCTTAACGTGGGTTTCCACGACCGCTGAGGAGGTGGGAGGGCACAGGGTGAACCAGGCACTGACCTGTAGGTAAACTTCTGTCTGCGACTGACGCATATGGCGTTGGCTGCATTCTTGGGTCAGAGCAAGCCATGCCTCACTTCAGTGGAGATGGGAAAGTGTCCGAAAAGAGGATTGATGTGAGGTTCAAACACCCCAGTTTTGAGGACTTCCCTGGCGGTCCAGTGGTTAGGACTCCGCACTTTCACTGCCGAGGGTCCAGGTTCAATCCCTGTTCAGGGAACTAAGATCCCACAAGCTGCACAGCACAGCCCCAAAAAAAAACCCCAAGAAAGAAATATCCGGTTTTCCACCTATCTGTGTCCTAGGGCAAGTGCCTCAACCTTTCGGAGGCTCAGGTTCCCTACATGGAGGAAATAGTCCAGTTGCCTGTGAGATCAGACTTGCAGAGTGGGCAGTGTGCAGGTCTGGAGTTAGGCAGATTTGGGTTCGACCCCAGCTCCTGTCTCTGTCCACTCAGGGACCTTGGGTAAGTCACTGTTCTCTGGACCTCAGTTTCTTCATCTGGAAAAGGGGAATGATCCTGAGGCCACCCTAATGTGCTTGCAACTGGATCCACAAAATGTGGCTTAAGACGTTTCCCGGCGCTCAGGAGGCCCCCCTGTAAGTGATAGCTCATTTGGGGGCTGGCTACAGGTTATACTAGGACCACTTCAGGCTCCGACATGGAGACTTACTCTCAGCTTCCATCCCCTCTCTTTGCAGATGGGGAGTGGAGGTTCTGCGGGCTGAGACCCATGTTGGGTTGGGATAATCTCCCTGCACCCGTGTGTATGGACAGAGCCAGCTCGGGGCCCATCCCCAGGCTTCTCCTGGCCAGGTAGTGGATGCCACGTTGCCATGGCCGTAGAATTGGACGGTGGCCATGGTGACCAGGGCAGTGGTGATTTTAGCTGTAATGGCTATGGTGACGGTGGCTGCATCAGCCAGGGTTCTACCAGAGCCAGTAGGAGACAGAGCTAGAAAGAGAGTTAAAGATGCAATACAGATATAGACATATAGATATCCATATGCATTTATTATAGGACATTGGCTGGCTAAAGAGGAGGCTGGCTAAGCCAGTCTGAAGTCCACCAGGCAGGTGGTTAGGACGGAAGATGACAAGCAGGCTGGAATCCCAGGGGCACGAGCCGTTTGGGGTCCCTGAGTTCTGGGAAGGCCTCAAGGTCTTACCTGATTAGGTCACGCCCACCCAGGGTAAACCCCCTTTTGATCAAACTTAAAGTAACTAAGGAGGGCCTTTGTGTGATTTTTCTGTGAAAGAAAAATCTTTTCACAGCAGCACCTCGGTCGGTGTTTGATTGAACAGCAGGGCTGTGGTTCAGCCTCCAAGTTGACCTACAAACTGACCATTACAGTCCACCCCTTACCAGCTTGCCTCCTACACACAGCTCCCTAAACCATACTCAGTCTCCAGAGAAAGACACTAACAGTCAACCCCCACCTACCAGGACATAACGGACCCCCATATGAACAAAAACACACTAACGCTTTCCCCAAAGGACGCAAAGTCCTTGTGCGTTGATGTTCGCACTTCTCCTTTGATCCCCCAAACTTCAATACTGAGATACAGGGTTAACTGTTACGAACACATCTTACGTTAGATGATACGGGGGTGAGAAAGTGAATAAAATAAAAGCATTTGATTAATACATACACACACATATTCATATCAGAAAAAGGAAGCAATACTCATAACAGTATCAGTCCTCCTGTCTGTGACCAGTCCCATGATTGTAGCTGGGATTCGTAACTACCTTCTCCCACCACCCATCCCATATTCCATTTGCCCACCACAAGTATCTTAACTGGTCACGGTTCTTTGCCCGGTGGGTGACCCAAGCTTCATTATTTTTTTTTTTCTTGGCCGCGCCATGTGGCTTATGGAATTTTAGTTCCCCGACCAGGGATCAAACCTGGGGCCCCAGCAGTGAGAGTGCCAACTCATAACCACTGGACCAGCAGGGAATTCCCCCAGCCTTCATTCTTGAAAGCTCTGGATCACTAGCAGTCCTGCTGGACTTGGGTTGGTATCGTTTTCCATTGACTGTGTCCCAGGGATTGCACGTGCTGAGAGAGGCCGTGAGGAATCTCCTGTCTCGCGGACCTACTCTCTCACTCGCACACGGGAGCAACCTGACTTCCCAGTGATGACGGTCAGGATCTGTCCCCACAGCCAGAGCGGCCACCCTGCTCTCTGCAGGATCACTGTGTCTCGGGGGGGAACCGTTCCTCCCTTTGGAGCAAAGCCCTCCGGCCCAGCGGAGCCTCAAGTCCTGGGGGTGGGAAGCAAACATTTCGCTGGTGAAGCTCTAAGGGGCGTAGTGGGTGGTCCCACCCGCACTTCTGCCCGTGGTTCCTGGATGTGTGAACACTAACTGTAGGAGAATCAGCCCTGTATACTGGACGCTGGTTTAGAGCATTGGTGGCCTCCCAGAGGACACTGCCTCAGCCCCACCAGGTCTGGCCACCCAGCTGGTCCCAGAGCTGGGTCTCCAGAAGGCCATTTCACTGTTCTCTCCAGCCAGCTGCTTCAGTGGCCATGATGGTGAGAGTCACGGTGGCAGCAGCCTCTCGGTAACGGCCAGTGGCTGTGGTGATGGCTGCACTGGCGTGGTATTGGTGGTTGTATGTCTGGCAGCCATGACTATGATGACTGGGGCAGCTGGGGCCGTGAAGGTGGAGAGCGGCCACGGTGACGGTGACCATGGTTACAGTGGCTGTAAGGTGATGATAACGGCTGTGATGTAGCAGCTGTGATGGGGATGGATGGTGGCCAGGGTGACGGCAGCCGTGATGCTGGTGGATACAGTGGCAGTGGCCACAGTGATGATGGACCGTGGGTATGGTGATGGTGGTCATGATGGTGGGTACGATGGTGACAGTGGCCATGGTGTTTGGTGACTTTTGATAATGGCCATGATGGTGGTGGCGTGGGCAGCTGTGGCCATAGTGACGGAGAGTAGCCACGGTCATGATGGCTTTGGTGGCTTGGATATGGTGAGAGTGGCTAAGGTGGCAGTGCTTCTGGTGGCAGTGACAGATGCATGGTGGGAGGCCGTGTCTGTGGTTCGGGTGGCAGCCGGAGTGGCTGTGGCTATGGTGGTCGTGATGGGGGTGCCGTGGTGGACTGCGGCCCCGATGTGGTGGTCGCGGCCGCGAATGGGCTGGTCCGCGTCTCACCTGGCCTCTAGGTTTGCGGGCAGAGGAGCCGGTGCCTGACGACCGCTACCGCGCCGTCTACTTTGCAACGCTCCTGGCTGGCGTGGGCTTCCTGCTGCCGTACAATAGCTTCATCACCGACGTGGACTACCTGCACCACAAGTACCCAGGTGGGTCCCCCGCAGTCGCGTCCTGCCATCGCATGCTGCCCTGCACACGTGGCTCAGGCCTGCCACCCTCCAGAAACCCCTTGGGCAGGACCCCACTTGGGGAGCCCATTTTATTCAAACCCTAGCTCGGCTGTGAATTGCTATGTGACCCCAAGGGCAGCCACTCACACTCTCTGGGCTGTCGGCCCCTTTGGGGCAGAGGGAGGAAGCAGTGCCTGGCGGGGGCAGGTGCAGAGGGTGGGGCTCCCCTGAACCCCGTTACCCTCCCCCCCACCAGGGACCTCGATTGTGTTTGACATGAGCCTCACCTACATCCTGGTGGCGCTGGTGGCTGTGCTCCTGAACAACGCGCTGGTGGAGAGGCTGAGCCTGCACACGAGGATCACCGCGGGTACGCCGCCGCTGCCCACCCGGCTCCCGGCCCTCACACCTGGCCGTCACATGCCCTCCATTCCCTGCGTGCGCCTCACTCTCCTCGTCTGTAAGATGGGCGCACCTCCTAGGAACGTCATGGGGTTCAACTATGAAAACAGTGTCAGGCCCATGTGCGTGTAACACGTGCTGGCGTGATGCCTGCGCCTGGCGAGGCTGCCGTGCACCCCACGTGTGTCCCGGGGCCCTTGCTCTTCCCTGCTCTTCCTCTCCCATTTGTCTCCATGGTAACATTCAGCTTCAAATCCCAGCTCGAGGCGCCTCCTCCAGGAAGCCTTCTGGGTGCCCCTCCTAGAACTCTAAGATGGCCCCGCCCTCCCAGTATTAAGGGGAACGGCAGAGAGAGGGCACCTCAGACCTGGCTCCATGTTAGGGGATGAGGGGGCTCCCCCAGCCCACCATCGATTGCCACCTCTCTGGCCTCTCCCCACACAGGCTACCTCTTAGCCTTGGGCCCCCTCCTGTTCATCAGCATCTGCGACGTGTGGCTGCAGCTCTTCTCTCGGGACCAGGCTTATGCCATCAACCTGGCTGCGGTGGGCACCGTGGCCTTCGGCTGCACAGGTAGGGCCAGGGGCCGGGGTGGGCTGAGCCCCTGGGTGCCCACTGCGGGCCGTCCCACTGGCCCTGTTCGTGTGCTGGGGGCATGTTAATACAGGGTGAGCCAGGCTCAGTGCCGGTACGTTTCCATGTACACATGGGCGAGTCTGCTTTCACACGTGCACGTCTACTTTCACACATGCACGCACACTGCACACCCAAAGGGCTGCGTGCGCTGGTCACACACAGAGTCAGAGCACACACTCCACACACATGTCCACATGCCCACATGCCACGTGGACATGGAGGCAGTTCCCTGGTTTTCTCAGGTATAAACCGGGCTTCACAACCTCTCCTGCCCATGTCACCGTGTCACTGTGTTTCTCTTGGGCGGTAGCTTTCAAAATTTTTTTTTTTAACTTTTTATTTTGAAACTGTTTCAAACCTATGGAAAGTTAAGAACAATATAATGAGTTCCCATGTACCTTTCACCTAGATTCACCAATTGTTAACATTTTGCCACATGTGCTTTCTTTCCTTTGCTGGCTTTCTCTGTTCCCCCTCCCTGCCCCCAACTTCTTTTTTTTTTTTTTTTTAATAAGAATCTTTTTAAAAAATATGTATTTATTTATTTGGCTGCGCTGGGTCTTAGTTGCGGCATGCAGGATCTTCGCTGCCGAGTGTGGGAGCTTTAGTCGCGGCATGTGGGATCTAGTTCCCTGAACAGGGATCGAAGCCGGGCCCCCTGCACTGGGAGCGCGGAGTCTTAACCACTGGACCACCAGGGAAGTCCTCCTCCTCCACCTTCTAAAGTATATGTATATATATGAAATTTCCCCTAAATATATATAAATAGAAAATGTATGTTTTGTCCTTAAACCGTTCGGGAATTACTTGCAGACATCATCATGCTTCTTTGCCTAAATGGTAACAGTTCAGGGTGTTTAACAGCTGAACCTAAAACATCTCTTCTAGAACCACATTTACAATTGCCAAAATTGGGACATTTAACATTGATACAATACTATCATCAGATCTACAAGCCAGAATCATTTAACTATTTGTCGCGGTAATGTCCTGTACAGCGTTTGGTTTTTCTGACCCAGGACCCAGCCCAGGATCACACATTACATCACTGGTCACATCTTTAGTCTCCCTTAATCCGAAAGGTCCTCAGCCTTTCTCTGTCTTCTGTGGCAATGATGTTTACAAAGGTCCAGGCCAATTGTTCTGTTGATCGTGACTTCCAGAAAGAGATACATTTCACATTATGACCCGGCACACATGTGTGCGTGTGTATGTGTGTGTGTGTGTTTATAAATGAAATCAAGGCTCTGTGAAATAATATTCTCAATCCAGGCTTTGTACTCAGGTCTGCTCTGTTCTATTTCGTTTAAAAAAAAAAAAAAATGCTGATAACTCCACCAGGAAGGAGATGCTAGTTTGCCAGCCCTGCTCCAGGGTTTACTTCCGGGCGTGGAGTCACTAGACCGCAGGGCTTGAGCCGGTACATTTTCATTTTCCCCAGATACTGCTGCACGTCTGTCTTGTTGGTCAGGATGAGACGTTATGCTGTGGTAACAAACGACCCAGAGATCTCAGTGGCTTCTCAGAATCGGCCTTATTTCTGGCCCTTGCTGCACGTCCAGCGTGTCGGTGGGGTTATTTCCACACTCACTCGGACTGCCGGTGGCTCCCCATCTGTAACACATGGCCTCTTCTGTGGCCGCCCCTGGGGAAAGACAGACCAGAAGACCATGTGGGCTTTTCCTACCTGGTCCAGGGGTGACGTGTGTCATTTCTGCTTGGGTGTCAATGACCAGAGGAGGTTGGGGAGTCTGGCCAGCCCCGGGGCGGGGACGTCGAAGGCAGGACTGTGCTATGCAGGGGGTGGTGCTGTTTCCACCCCACCCCGCGAGGGGATTGGACAAGGTCCCTCTGCCCCCAGTGGTGTTAATGTCTTTTCCCAGCAACCCTTGCCAACAGTGTTCTCCAACTTCTGCATTCTGTTCCAAGCAAACAGGTGATAAGTGGTGTCTCATGGTTACTTCTCTCTCTCTCTCTCAAGTGCAGCAATCCAGCTTCTACGGGTACACGGGGATGCTGCCCAAGAGGTACACGCAGGGGGTGATGACGGGGGAGAGTGAGTATCTGCGGACCCCAGAGCTGCCTAGGCTCTGCGACCCTCTTCCTGGGACCGAGGCGGGGCTGGCGATTGCCTGGCTGGTGGGGGGCCGGACTCCCAGACAGGAGGGATGAGGTTGTGATAGGCGTGGTCTCTTTGGGTGCAGGGTCCTCTGTGATGTGAGGAGCACGTGCCACACTCTGAGCATGGGTCTCGAGTGTCTCGCAGCGTCTGTGCAAGGCGTGCGTTTCGTGTGTGCATGTGTGTGCAGGGCAGCTCATCTACACCCGTGACGTCAAGTGCCGGCCCCCAGCACCAAGCTCTCCTCAGAGCCCCACCCCCACTTGGCAACTCAGACTCCCTTTCCCAAGCCCAACACGTCATCCCACCGGCCCCTGCTCAGTGAAGGGCACCCCCGTGCTCAAACCTGAGACCTACCCGACACCCAGTGCTCTAAGTCCCTGCAAGTCATGTGGACCTGCCCTCCGGGGTGATCCCTGCGCCCCAGCCCCGGTCCGAGCAGCCGACTCCCCCTCTTGTCTTGCTGCCCTCCAGCACGGGGGCCGCCCCACCCTCAGCCCAGCCGCAAGCACTTCGGAGCACCTCGTCCAGATGTCCTCAGTCTTCCTTCCGGGCCTGGATGGGCCAGGCTCAGCCGTGCTGTGGGGCAGGACTCAGGTGGACTCTGGGCCCCATTTCTCCCCTTTGGGGTACTCTGTACCCTCTACATACGGTGAGGCCCACCAGGTGCCCCCAGGGCTCCAAGCCTCGCGTCTGTGGAGTTTGGTTCCGGGAAGGTACCCCGCTTGCCGTGACCCCCACCACCTTCCCCTGTGACCTTAGGACCCCACCCACCTGGTTCCAAGCCCACCACTTCCTTTCAGCTCCGCAAACACAAACATGTAGAGCTCATGCCCGCCCTCTGCCAATGGACGCTCGCCCCCTCGTCTCTGCCTGGCCCCCCCAAATCCTGCACAATCATTGGTGTTTTTCTGCGACCAGTTTGGGGCCTCTCCCCAAGGAGCCCAGAAGGAAGGGCCTGCATGCGTCGTCCCCACTGTGTCCTCAGGGCGGACGGTGCCGGGCACACAGCAGACACGTGATCAGTGCGCCTGGGGTGGGGTGTGTGTGAGCCGGGAGCAGGGGCCAGAGAGGGGCGGGCTGCGCCGGCGCATCCTGCGGGCAGCCACAGCGTGTCCGCGTCCCAGGGCTGCGGGGCGGGGCCGAGTGGGCGGGGTCGCCCGCGTCACAGCCCCGCCCCCCGCAGGCACGGCGGGCGTGATGGTCTCCCTGAGCCGTATCCTCACGAAGCTGCTGCTACCCGACGAGCGGGCCGGCACGCTCATCTTCTTCCTGGTCTCCGCGGGCCTGGAGCTGCTCTGCTTCCTGCTGCACCTGCTGGTGCGGGGCAGCCGCTTCGTGCTCTACCACACGGCGCGGCCCCGCCCCAGCCACACGGCCGGCTACCGCGTGCACCACGACGTGGCCGCCGAGGACGTGCACTTTGTAAGTCGCGAGGTCCGCGGAGGGAGCCGGGAGGCCCGGCACGGCCGCCGCCCCGTCCCAGCCGAGCTCCTCCAGCCGCGCCCCGCTGTCGCTGTCGTCTCAGGCTCCAGCTCCTCCTGTGGCCCGAGGCTCCTACCCACGGGCCCTCCTTCGTCCTGTGGACCAAGGTTTCATCCCTTGGTGACACCACGCACCTGAGGCCTGAGGCCCCCTGGCTGTGACAGCCCACACCTGAGGCCTTAACCTCCCCACGCCCCCGGTGTGATGGCCCACACCTGTGGCCTCCCCCGCAGGCCCGCCCGGAGCCATCCTGGGGAGCTGGGGCGCCCCGGACACTGCGCGGAGCCAGAGGCCGGCTGAGACAAGGCCCACGTCAGAAACCGGGGCCCCCTTAATGGTCACGGAGGGTCCGCGAGTGGCTCTGGGCTGAGACCTGAGCCGTGCGGAGGGGTGTGAGGACCCACACGAAAGGCGTGGGGGCGGGGCGGGGCGTGGGGGGGTGGGCAGAGGGAAGCGCACGCGCAGAGGCTCCGGGGCGTGGGCGGAGCTTGGCGTGTTTGCGGGACGGCGAGGAAGCGGCCGGCGGGAGCCTGCGGGGACCTCTCACCCAAACGCGTCCCACCCTGTACCCCCTCCAGGAGCACCAGGGCCCAGGCCTGGCCAACGGCGGGTCCCCGAAGGACAGCCCAGCCCACGAGGTGACCGGCGGCGGGGGAGCCTACACGCGCTTTGATGTGCCTCGGCCGAGAACCAGGCGCAGCTGGCCCTCCTTCCGAGGTGGGGCGGGCTGGGCCCCGGCGTCCCGTGTCTCGTCTGCGCGCGGAGAGCAGGGGGTGTTCCGGCGGGCTGGGGCCGCTTAGGTGTGCGGCCTCCTGACGCCGCCGGCCTCCCACAGCCCTGCTGCTGCACCGCTACGTGGTGGCCCGCGTCATCTGGGCGGACATGCTCTCCATTGCCGTGACCTACTTCATCACGCTGTGCCTGTTTCCGGGTCTCGAGTCTGAGATCCACCACTGCATCCTGGGCGAGTGGCTGCCCATTCTCATCATGGCCGTGTTCAACCTGTCTGACTTCGTGGGCAAGGTGGGCGCCCCCGCCAACCCTCCCGGCCCTGGGGGAGGACGCCGTGGGTGGGGGCAGCAGACGCCAGGGTCACTGCGGGAGCCGCGGGGAGGGTCCCCGGGGAGGCGCAGGCCCCAAGCAGAGGCTGCACGTGGCTCCTGGTGGGGAGGGCGGGAGCAGAGCCACGGTCCAGACCGCAGCTGAGAGCAGTTGGGGGAGGCGGCGCTTGCCCCACCCTCACTAGTTGAGCACAGGTGGGGGCACACGGAGGAGGGCACCCAGAAATGGCTGGCCTGTCGTTGGTCTTCTGTAGAAGAACGCAAGGCTTAGAGAGGGAAAGCCATCTGCTTGGGGTCCCACAGCTGGGAGGTCTGAGAAACTCGAGTCTGTGCTTCCCGAGGGAGCAAAGCTTAGTTAGTGGGTTCAGTTGCTGCCGCTTCGTACGTGTTGATGCAGGTGGGCCTGACCCTCTGGGCCTCTGTATCCTCGTTTCTCAAATAATGTCAAGAGCCCCACCCGGCGAGGGTGCTGTGCAGGCTGAACAGGGGCACGTGTGTCGTGTTTGGCTGGGTGCCGGGCACACAGCGAGGACTGTGTGTCGCCATATGAGGGGTTTGGTGGACAAAGGTGGGAAAGGATGGGGACACAGCCTGAGCCGGGAGTGTCTAGGGATAGGGGTGTGTCTGGAGGCTGCCGGGAAGACGCAAGGGGAGTGGCATGGGCCCGCATGTCTGTCTCCCCACAGATCCTGGCGGCGCTGCCCATGGACTGGCAGGGCACCCACTTGCTGGCCTGCGCCTGCCTCCGTGTGGTCTTCATCCCCCTCTTCATCCTGTGCGTCTACCCCAGCAGCACGCCCGCCCTCCGCCACCCGGCCTGGCCCTGCATCCTCTCCCTGCTCATGGGCATCAGCAACGGCTACTTCGGCAGCGTGCCCATGATCCTGGCGGCGGGCAAAGTGAGCCCCAGGCAGCGGGAGCTAGCAGGTAAGGCCCTGCTCGGCCCGCGCCCTGCTCGCCTGCAGGACTGTCCACTGTCAGGCAGGGAAACCCAGGCCCGTAGAAGTCAAGACCACACAGCGAGACGCTACCTTTGGGTCCCAGGGTCAAGTCAGCCTCGGAGCTCGTAGCTTGGGGACGTTCGCCAACCACTTACCCCCTCGTTCATCTCACAGCTGCTTGGTGAGCCCCTGCCGTGCACCAGGCACTGTTCTAGGTTCCGGGGACACAGTGGTGATAAAACAGTGATCCCTGTGTTTGTGGGGTTGACAGTCCAGAGGTGACAAAGAGACAACAAAATGATGTAATGTGTTGGGTGGTGATGAGCGTTGTTGAGGAATGTAAAACAGTAATGGGACGAGGGAGTCGTGGTAGGGGGTTCACAGTGGAAGCAGAGCAGCCTGGGAAGGCTTCACTGAGGAGGTGACTTGAGCAGAGACCTGGAGAAAGTAGTGAGGGGCCACGTGACAATGTAAGAGAAGAGTGTTCGGAGTGGCGGGGATAGCATGTGCAAAGGCCCTGGGGCGGGGGCGGCAGTGGAGTAGTAAACAGGTGGGAGGGGCCTGGAAGAAAGTGCTGGATTCTGGATCCGTTTTGACTGCAGGGCCCACGGGGCCAGCTGATGGACTAGGAGATGGAGTATGAGAAAAGGACGGGGGGTGGGGCGAGGGGGGAAGTCAAGAAGGACTCCCAAGGGGGGCCTGCTGCTCAGGGCAAGAAGGTTGGATTGCTGTCAAGTGAGATGGGGAGGGGGCCGTGTGGGAAGGGGCACTGGAGGGGGGTTCTGGACACAGTAGGTTCAGGAAGCCCAGTAGACATCCTAAGTGGTCCATGACGAGGAAGCAGTTGGAGGTGGGAGGCTGGAGAGAAAGAGAAGCAGGCGAGGCCTGGAGCGCCCAGCACTTTCAGTCAGGGTGGAACAGTCCTGGGGCAGCCACCTCCCAGGTGGGAGCTGGCCGTGGTCACTGCTTCACACCTGAGAAGCTAGGGCTTCGGCTCCAGCCCTCGCTGTGGCCCCCCTCCCTCCAGCTGAGGTCTGGTCCTGTCTGCAGGGAACACCATGACTGTGTCCTACATGACGGGGCTGACGCTGGGCTCGGCCGTGGCCTACTGTACCTACAGCCTCACGCGGGACGCCCACGGCACCTGCCCCGACCGCTCCGCCGCCAACGCCTCCTTCCCCGCCGGCCTCTGAGCCAGGCCTGGGCCCCCAGCCCTGCCCAGGGAGGGCTGCCGGGGCCCTTCCCCACCCCTGCCTGCAGTGCCTGCGGGGCCCCGGCCTCCTCCCCGTGCCAATACCGCCACCCTCTCTGGGCCCACCTGCCCTCACTCCGGCCCCAAGGTTCTGCCAAGTTCTCGGAGGCCTGGACATGTGGCTGCCACAGGGTCCCGCCAGCACTGTGTTCTGTGTTCCGTCTCACGCCGCCCTTTGCCACCTGCGTGTGTCTAGTGGTCCCAGTGCCAGCCAGGACAGTGACAGACCACCAGCTGGTGTCCCCTTCTGGTGACCCTCACCTGGCTCTGCTTTGAGGGCCCCATGACCCCAGCCACACCGTCCTCAGCACCTCCTTCACTGGGGACCCCTTGCCCCCAGGTCTCCCCCGTTCCCGTTCTTAAACGCTGGGTCTCCCCAGCAAAATGCGTTTGCCGTGAAGGAGCTGTAAGCTCTGGGTCTGAATGGTTTCAGACCACGGTCTGCGCTGGCCTTTTTGCAACCCCAGCTTTGGTGCTGGCCTGGGTGCACCCACCCCATGCCAGCACCCCGCGTGCACCCTGGTACCCACCTGATGCCACAGGCCTGGGCGTCTGTGCCTGCCTGGGGACCCCCGATGACTTCTCTGGATCCTCCACCTGTGATACAGGAGGGGGACAGTTTGGGGGCCGCAAAGCAGGGCCCACACCCTGGCTAAAGTCACCCTGTGACCTAGGCCTTGAGCCCTGTCCAGGGAGGCCCAAGGAGGGACAGACGTGCCGGAGTCCCTGGCAAGTAGGAAGGGGTGGGGTCCCCCCAGAGGTCCGGGCTGGTTCGGTGCCCCGAGCTGGGGGCATTCCCAGATCATCCTGCCAAAGGCGGGCTTCTCTACGGGGAGGACAGGTACCCACGGCACCGCTGTGACCACCCTGCCCTTCTGCGTCTGGTGTCCACCCGTCTGTCCACTAACTGTACCGCACTGGCCATTAAAGATGAGGGCAGAGCAACTGCCCCACCGCCGCCTCCAAGTAGCGTCTGTGCCGCCATCGCAGCCCCTGCGGTGGGAGGAGGGGTCCTGGCGGGACACGGCCCACGACTGGGAACCCAGGCTTCCCACCAGACACCTGGTAGGCCCAGGACAGATTTGTGTGGAGGGGCGGACAGTCGGGGTGGGGAGAGGAAGCATTTGGGGTTTAAAGGGCACCTTGGTGCCCCTTTGGCCCTCAGAACAGTCAGAGACGGTGGCTGCGTCGCGCCCACTCCAAGGGGGAGAAAAGGAGGGGAGATGGCTTGCCCCCTGCCCTGAGGGATCAGAGCCAGGACCGGACGCTGAGCGTTCGGGGGTCCCATCCCGGCTCTGTTGCTGATGTGTGTGGTTTGGACAAATTCCTCCACTATCCTATGTTTCAGTTTCCCCAAGACGGGTTGCCCCGCTCTTCGACGTGGGTTCCGTGGAGGAGGGTTGGGGAGGAGGAGGCCGGCTGCCTGAGGGTGGCCTGTGCTCCAGGCAGGCCCGCGACCTTGGGGACACACCCACCTCCGGACAGGCACCGCCCCCTGCAGCCACGTGGGTCAAGACCACGCGGGGCGCCGCCTCAGGGGCCGCTTGGTGGCGCCAGCGTGTCGCTCTTTCCAAGACTGGATATGTGGGGGTGGGGCACGCACTACCTCGTGACTCAGTTTCTCTGAAACGGGAGGACCGTCGGAGCCCTTCCCCAGCCACACACCGAGCTGACTGCCTTCGTCATGGCCGCACCGTTCCCTCCACACACCGCCCTCAAATAGCAAAGCCGGGTGGCCGTCCGTGTCCCATCCACGTGCGGTGCGCTGGGTTGCTGGGCAGGTGCCCGTGGGGGCCGGCCTGAGCTGCCCTGGGTAGGGGGCAGGTGGCAACGCCAGGACCTGGGCCCAGCCTCCCCAGTCCCGGCAGGGCTGCCGCCCCTCCATTGCACACTGGCTCAGGGCCACCCAGACCGGCAGCACTGCTGTCATTCCTTCCAGTGTGGGTGCAGCCGGGAGGGCTCTGCGCCACGTGTTTTTGTTCTGTGTTTTGTTACTGCCTTGCTCTTAACAGCAGTCCCAGTTGTAGCCTCCTCCACTCTCCTCCTTTTTTTCTGAAGTGTGACTGATGTACAGTATTATGTGAGTTACAGGTGTATAGTATAGTGACTCACAGTTTTTAAGGACTGAGCTTCATTTATAGTTATTGTAAAATATTGGCTATATTCCCCATGTTGTACAAATATCCTTGTAGCTAATTTTACACCTAATAGCTTGTACCTCTTACTCCCCTACCCCTATCTTTCCCTTCCTCCTTTTCCTCTCCCCACTGGTCACCACTAGTTTGTTCTATCTGTGAGTCTGTTTTTTTTACGTTATAGTCACTAGTTTGTTGTATCTTTTAGATTCCACATATAGGTGATATCACAGTATTTGTCTTTCTCTGTCTGACTTATCTCACTTAGCATAATGCCCTCCCAAGTCCATCCATGTTGTTGCATATGGCAACATTTCGTTCTTTTTTATGGCTGAGTAGTATTCCATAGTATATATGTTCCACACCTTCTTTATCCATTCATCTGTTGTTGGACACTTAGATTGCTTCCACATCTTGGCAGTTGTAAATAATGCTGCAGTGAACGGGGGGTTGCATGTATCTTTTTGAATTAGTGTTTTGGGGGTTTTTTTGTATATATACCCAGGAGTGGAATTGCTGGGTCATATGGTAGTTCAATTTTTAGTTTTTTGAGAAACCTCCATACTGTTTTCCACAGTGGCTGCACCAGTTTACATCCCAACAGTGTACAAGGGTTCCCTTTTCTCTACATCCTCGCCACTATTTATTATTTATGTTCTTTTTGATGATAGCCATTCTGACAGGTATGAGGTGATATCTCATTGTGGTTTTGATTGCATTTTCCTGATGATTGGTGATATTGAGCGTCTTTTCATGTGCCTGTTGGCTATCTGTGTGTCTTCTTTGGAAAAATGTCTGTTCAGGTCTTCTGCCCATTTTTTAATCAGGTTTTTTTTTTTATGTTGAGTTGTATGAACTATATATTGATATTCTAGATATTAACCCCTCATTGGTCATATCGTTAACAAATATTTTCTCCCATGCAGTAGGATGTCTTTTCGTTTTGCTGATGATTTCCTTTGCTGTGCAAAAAGCTTTTAAGTTTAATTAGGACCCATTTGTTTGGTTTTGCTTTTATTTTCTTTGCTTTAGGAAACAGATCCAAAAAAATACTGCTACGATTTATGTCAAAGAGTGTTCTGCCTATGTTTTCTTCTAGGATTTTTATGGTTTCTGGTCTTAACATTTAGGTCCTTAATCCATTTTGAGTTTATTTTTGTATATGGTGTTAGAAAGTGTTCCAATTTCATTCTTTATATGTAGTTGTCCAGTTTTCCTAGCACCACTTGTTGAAGAGACTGTCTTCTCCACTGTATATTCTTGCCTACTTTGTTAGAGATTAATTGGCCATAAGTGCACAAGTTTATTTGTGGGCTCTCTGTTCTGTTGATCTATTTGTATGCTTTTGTGTCAGTACCTTAGTGTTTTGATTATTGTAGCTTTGTAGTACAGTCTGAAGTCAGGGAGCATGATTCCTTCAGCTCTGTTCTTCTTTTTTGAGACTGTTTTGTCTATTTTGTGTTTCCATACAAATTTTAAAATTATTTGTTCTATTTCTGTGAAAAATGCCATTGGTATTTTGATTGGGATTGCACTGAATCTGTAGATTACCTTGGGTAGTATGAGCATTTTAACAATATCAATTCTTCCAGTCCAAGAAGACAGTGTATATTTCCATCTGTTTGTGTCATCTTCAATTTCTTTCATTAATGTCTTACAGTTTTCAGAATACAGGTTTTTTCCCCTAGGTATTTTTTTATTTTTGATGTGATGGTAAATAGGATTGTTCCTTGATTTCTCTTTCTGATAGTTCATTGTTAGTGATTAGAGATGCAGCCAATTTTTGTATATTAATTTTGTATCCTCTAATTTTACCAAATTCACTGATGAGGTCCAGTAGTTTTCTGGTGGTATCTTTAGGATTTTCTATGTATAGTGTCATGTTATTTGCAAACAGTGATCGTTTTACTTCTTCCTTTCCAGTTTGGATTCCTTTTTCTTTTTCTTGCCTAATTGCTGTGCCTAGGACTTCCAATACTATGTTGAATAAAAGTGGCGAGAATGGGCATTCTTGTCCCTAATCTTGGAATGCTTGCAGTTTTTCACCATTGAGAATGATTTTAGCTGTGGGTTTGTCATAATGGCCTTTATTATGTTGAGGTATGTTCCTTCTATGCCCACTTCATGGAGAGTTTTTTTATCATAGTGGATGTGGAATTTTGTCAAAAGCTTTTTCTGTATTTATTGAGATGATCATTTGGTTTTTATTCTTCAGTTTGTAATTTGGTGTATCACATTGATTGATTTGCAGATATTGAAGAAGATCCTTACATTCCTGGGATGTCCCACTTGATCATGGTGTATCATCCTTTTAATGTACTGTTGGATTTGGTTTGCTAATATTTTTGAGGATTTTTGCATCTGTGTCATCAGTGATATCGGCCTTTAATTTTGTTTTTCGAGATATCTTTGTCTGGTTTTGGTATCAGGGTGATGCTTACCTCATAGAATGTACTTGGAAGTGTTCCTTCCTCTGCAATTTTTTGGAATAGTTGGAGGAAGATAGGTGTTAAGTTTTTTCTAAATGTTCGATTGTATTCACCAGTGAAGCCATCTGGTCCTGGACTTCTGTTTGTTGGGAGTTTCTAAATTACTGATTCAGTTTCATTACTGGTAATTGGTCTGTTCATATTTTCTGTTTCTTCCTGGTTCAGTCCTGGGGGATTGTATATTTCTAAGAATTTGTCCATTTCTTCTAGGTTGTCCATTTTATTGGCATATAGTTGCTTGTAGTAGTCTCTTAAGATCTTTTGTATTTCTGTGGTGTCAGTTGTACTTCTTTTTCATTTCCGATTTTATTGCTTTGGGCCTGCTCCCCCCCCCCTTTTTTTTTTTTCTTGGTAAGTCTGGCTAAAGGTTTATCAAATTTGTTTATCTTTTCTAAGAACCAACTTTTAGTTTCAGCTTTTAGTTCTTTTTTCTTTCTTTCTTTTTTGTCTCTATTTCATTTATTTCTGTTCTGATCTTTATGATGTCTTTCCTTCTACTAACTTAGGGTTTTGTTTGTTCTTTTTGTAGTTCCTTCAGGTGTAAGGTTAGATTGTTTGAGATTTTTGTTTCCTGAGGTAAGCTTGTATCACTATAAACTTCCCTCTTAGAACTGCCTTTGCTCTGTCCCATAGATTTTGGATCATCATTTTTTTCGTTTCCACTTCTCTCTAGGTATTTCTTTATTCCCTCTTTGATTTCTTCAGTGATCCATTGGTTGTTCAGTAACATATTGTTTAGCCTCCACGTTTGTGTTTTTTGCAGTTTTTTCTTGATAGTTGATTTCTAGTTTCATAGCATTGTGGTCGGAAAAGCTGCTTGATATAATTTTAATTTTCTTAAGTTTACTGAAGCTTGTTTTGTGGCCCAGCATGTGATCTATCCTGGAGAATGTTCTATGTGCACTTGAATTTGTATTCTGCTGCTTTCAGATGGAATGTTCTGTGTATATCAGTTGAAGCCATCTGGTCTAATGTGTCATTTAAGGCCATTGTTTCCTTACTGATTTTCTATCAATGGATGATCTGTTCACTGATGTAAGTGGGGTGTTAAAGTCCCTTACTATTATTATGTTACTGTCAGTTTCTTTCTTTATGTCTGTTAATGTTTTCCTTATGCATTTTAGGTACTCTTGTGTTGTTTGCATATATATTTACAATTGTTATATTTTCTTCTTGGATTGATCCCTTGATCCTTCTTTGTAGTGTCCTTCTTTGTCTCTTCTAACAACAGTCTTTATTTAAACTCTATTTTGGGGAATTCCCTGGCGGTCCAGTGGTTAGGACTCCACGCTTTCACTGCAGGAGGCCCGGGTTTGATCCCTGGTCAGGGAAGGAACTAAGATCCCACAAGCTGCATGGCGTGGCCAAAAAAAGAAAAAAATCCTGAAGTCTATTTTGTCTGAAAAGTATTGCTACTCTAGCTTAGTTTTGATTTCCATTTGCATGGAATATCTTTTTCCATCCCCTCACTTTCAGTCTGTTATGTGTCTCTAAATCTGAAGTGAGTCTCTCATAGGCAATATATATGCAGGTCTTTTTTTTTTTTTTATCAATTCAGCCACTCTGTGTCTTTTGATTGGAGCATTCAGTCTACTTATTTACATTTAAGGTAATTATTGATATGTATGTTTTTATTGCCATTTTGCTAATTGTTTGGGCGTTGTGTTTGTAGGTCTTCTTTTCCTTTCTTCTTTTGTTCCCTTGTGATTTGATGACTGTCTTTAGTGTATTGTATTCCTTTTTCTGTTTGTATGTGTATCTATTATAGGTTTTGATGTTTTTTTGTTTTAGTATTTTTACTGAAATATAGTTGATTTCCAGTGTTGTGTTAATTTCTGCTGTACAGCAAAGTGACTCGGTTTTACACATATATACATTATTTTTAATATTCTTTTCCATTATAGTTTGTCATAGGATATTGAATATAGTTCTCTGTGCTATACAGCAAGACCTTGTTTATCCATTCTATATATAGAAAAGCTGACATCTGCTAACCCCAGCCTCCCACTCCATCCCTCCCCCAACTACCTCCCCCTTGGCAACCACCAGTCTGTTCTCTATGTATGTGATTCTGTTTCATAGATAGGTTCATTTGTGTCATATTTTAGATTTCATATATAAGCGATATCATTATGGTATTTGTCTTTGTCTGACTGCACTTAGTATGATAATCTCTAGTTGCATCCACGTTGCTGCAAATGGCATTATTTCATTCTTTTTCGTAGCTGAGTAGTAGTCCGTTGTATACGTGTACCACATCTTCTTTATCCATTTATCTGTTGATGAACATTTAGGTTGTTTCCATGTCTTGGCTGTTGTGAATAATGCTGCTACGAACATAGGGGTGCATATATCTTTTTGAATTATAGTTTTGTCTGGATATATGCCCAGGAGTGGAATTGCTGGATCGTATGGTAATTCTATTTTTAGTTTTCTGAGAAACCTCCATACTGTTTTCCACAATGGCTGCACCAACTTACATTCCCACCAACAGTGTTAGGAGGATTCCCTTTTCTCCACATCCTCTCCAGCGTTTGTTACTTGTAGACTTTAATGATGGCCATTCTGACCAGTTTGAGGTGGTACCTCATTGTAGTTTTGATTTGCATTTCTCTAATAATTAGCAATATAGAGCACCTTTTCATGTGCCTATTGGTTATCTGAATGTCTTCTTTGGAGAAATGTCTATTTAGGTCTTCTGCCCATTTTTCGATTGGATTGTTTTTTTGTTGTTGAGTTGTATGAGCTGTGTGTGTATTTTGGAAATTAAGCCCTTGTTGGTTACATAGTTTGCAGATATTTACTCCTGTACGTTGTCTTTTTTTTTTTTTATGGTTTTCTTTGCTGTGCAAAAGCTTTTAAGTTTGATAAGGTCCCATTTGTTTATTTTTGGTTTTATTTCTATTGCTTTAGGAGACTGACTTAAGGAAACATGGGTACAATTTATGTCAGAGAATGTTTTGCCTATGATCTCCTCTAGGAGTTTTATGGTGTCATGTCTTATGTTTAAGTCTTTAAGCCATTTTGAGTTTATTTTTGTGTATGGTGAGTTTATTTTTGTGTATGGTGACAGTCTTTTCACCACTTGCTGAAGAGGCTGTTTTTTTCCATTGTATATTCTTGCCTCCTTTGTCAAAGATTAATTGACCATAAATGTGTGGGTTTATTTCTGGGCTCTCTGTTCTGTTCCATTGATGCATATGTCTGTTTTTGTGCCAATACCACGCTGTTTTGATTACTGTAGGTCTGTAGTATTTTCTGAAGTCTGAGAGGGTTATGCCTCTGAGATTTTTGGTTTGTGGTTACCATGAGATTTTCATGTAGCAGTCTATATATATACGTAATTGTTTTAAGTTGCCAACCTCTTCAAATGCATTTGAAATACCGTACATTTGTACCCTCCTCCCCTCACGATTACTGATTTTTTTATATAAAGTTATTTTTATTTATATTATCTATTTTGTTTTGGCTGCATTGGGTCTTCATTGCTGCGCACAGGCTTTCTCTAGTTGCAGTGAGCAGGGGCTACTCTTCGTTGCGGTGCGTGGGCTTCTCATTGCAGTGGCTTCTCGTTGCAGAGCATGGGCTCTAGGCATGCAGGCTCAGTAGTTGTGGCTCACGGGCTGTAGTGCGCTGGCTCAGTAGTTGTGGCACATGGGCTTAGTTGTTCCGTGACATGTGGGATCTTCCTGGACCAGGGCTCGAACCCATGTCCCATGCATTGGCAGGCAGATTCTTAACCACTGCACCACTAGGAAAGTCCCTGATTACTGTTTTTGATATCATATTTTACATCTAATTATTTTGTGTATCCCTTAACTGCTTATTGTAGGTTTAGGTGGCCTTACTACTACTGTCTTTTAACCTTCCTACTAGCTTGGTGCGTGAATGATTTCCTACCTTTACTGTACGTTTGCCTTTACTGATGTGTTTTTTCCTTTCATAATTTTCATATTTTTAGTTGTGGCCTTTTCTTGTTGACTTAGAGGTTTCTTTAACATTTGTTATAAAGCTTGTTTGGTGGTGCTGAACTCTTAGCTTTTGCTTGTCTGTAAAGCTTTGTTTCTGCATCCAGTCTGAACAAGAGCCTCGCTAGGTAGAGTCTTGGCTGTAGGTTTTTCTTGTTCACTGTAAATATATCGTGCCACTCCCTTCTGGCCTGTAGGCGTTCGGCTGAAAAGTCAGCTGATAGCCTTATGGGAGTTCCGGAGTTCCCTTGTGTGTTGTTGTTTTTCCCTTGCTGCTTTTAATAATCCCTCTTTAATTTTTGCTGTTTTAATTACAATGTGTCTTGGTGTGTTCCTCCTTGGGTTAATCCTGTGTTGGACTCTCTGTGCTTTCTGGACTTGTATGACTGTTTCCTTTTCCAGGTTAGGGAAGTTTTTAGCTATTATGTATTCAGATATGTTCTCAACCCCTTTCTGTCTCTTCTCCTTCTGGGACCCCTGTAATGCGAATATTAACATGCTTGATGTTGTCCCAGAGGTCTCTTAAACTGTCCTCATTTCTTTTCATTGTTTCTTCTCTCAGCATCAGTGGTTTCCACTACTCTTGTCTTCCAGCTCGTTGACCTGTTTCTCTGTATCATTTCGTCTACTGTTGATTCCTTCTAGTATATTTTTCATTTGTTATTCTTCATCTCTGGTCGTTCTTTATATTTTCTGTTAAAAGCTTCGCATTTCTTGCACTGTGCGTCCATTCTTCTCCTGAGTTTTTTGATCATCGTTACAGTCACTACCCTGAACTCCTTCTCGGGTAGATTGCCTATCTCCACTTCACTTAGCTCTTCTCCTGGGCTTTTATCTTGTTCCTTCATCTGGAACATGTGCCTCTGTCGCCTCATTTTGCCTAAGCTGCTGTTTGTGTTTTTATGTATCTGGTAGGTTGCTTACGTTTCCCGACCTTGGGGATGTGGCCTTTCGTAGGAGATGTCCCATGCATCCCAGCAGTGCACGCCCCTCGTCACCCAAGCCGTATGCTCTAGGGTTTCCCCGTGAAGGCTGCGTGGGTCTTTCTGTCGCGGCGGGCTGCGTGGGCAGGCCCGCGTGGCCCTCGCCCAGCTGGTTGCCAGGCTCTGCCTCACGTGGAGGCTGCTGTCTGCCGCTTGGCAGGGCCCGGTCACGCCCCAGGGGGCCCCAGGGCTAGTGCTGGCTCACTGGTGGGTGAAGTCAGGGTCCAGGAGACTCCAGGGCAGTTGCTTGCCCACTGGGGGGGTCCTGGGGTCAGTGCCAGACTGCTGGCAGACAGAGCTGGGTCCCCTAAGCCTGGTTGCAGGACCCAGAGGTCCCAGAGCTGGTGTAAGATCACTGGGCTGGGGGTGGTCAGGTTGTTCCTAACACAGTTGGGTGCGGGGTGTCCTGAAGCGTGCGCTGGCCTCCTAGTGGCCAGGGCCCCGGGCCCAACTTGTCCCAGGGCAAGGTCTGGCGTGCCGTGGGCAGGCTGAGGGATTGGAGTTCTCTTGTGTCTGGCGTGTGCCCCCTGGTGGGGGTGGCAGGGCCTGGGGCTGGTGCCCGCTCACTGGGGGCTGGAGCTGAGTCCTGGGCCGTCTGGTGGGCAGGGTTGTGTCCTCAGGCGGTCTCCAGGCAGCCTGTCTGCTGCTGGGTGGGGCTGTGTCCCAAGCCCTGTTCGGCCGAGGGGTCCCAGCACCGGTGCCTGCAGGCTGCTGGGTGGGGCCCAGTCTTGGTGCCAGAGGAGCTAGAGGGAGGATCCCACAGCGGTACCTGCCAGCCCCAGCATACACTCGCAGGAGGCCCAGGAACGGCTGCCGCCAGCGTCTCTGTCCCCAGGGCGAGCCGTAGCTGCTTCCCGCCTCTCCAGGAGACTTTGGAAGACCAGCAGGTAGGTCTGGCCCAAGATCCCAGGAAATTACAGCTTTGGCCCCGGGTCCCGGAGCGTGGGAGACTTTGTGTGTGCCCTTTAAGAGGGAAGTCTTTCTTCCCCCCAGTCCTGTGGAACTCCTGAAATTAAGCCCCACTGGCCTTCAAAGCCAAATGCTCTGGGGGCGCATTTTCCCAGGGTAGGACCCCTGAGCGGGGCGGCCTGATGTGGGGCTCAGAACTCTCCCTCCTGTGGGAGAACCTCTGCCATGTTAGTTTTTCTCGTTTGTGGGTCACCCACCTGGGGATGTAGGCCCGACTGTACAGCAAGTCCACCCCTCTTAACTGTCTCACTGTGGTTCCTTCTTCATGTCTTTGGTTGTAGATCTTTTTGGTAGGTTGGGTCTCTTTCACTGTGCTATTGGTGTGCTCGTGAGAGGAGGTGAGCTCAGGGGCTTTCTACTCTGCCACCTTGGGTGATCTCCAGCTCGTCTGGCCGAGGGAACTTTCTGCACTGACGCACGCGGGCCAGCCACATACAGCAGCCCACTGACCTTGTCTGACTGTTGACCACCAAAGCCAGCGTCAGTGCAGCCAAGAAACTTTTCATTTCTTTCTTTTCATTCAAACTGGCTCGTGTTTAAACAGCCACACGTGGCTCCTCCCTCCAGGATCTGCATCCTGACACCAAGCCCACCCCAGCCCCCGAAATGAACCACTCCAGACAACGGTACTTTTCCAATTATAGCTTTTTTTCTTTTCTTTTTTTTATGAAAAAGATCACACAGAATTTGCCAACAAACAAAATTCCAAAAGAAACTTAAAAAAAAAAAGGAAAACAATAATTCCCCCAAAAAACAAAACCGAAGTCTGGCTTTTCCTTCCCTTAAGATTGTCTGGACGAGGCCTCCGGTCCCCCGGAAGGCGCGGGGGCTGTAAGTGCTTTCGTGGGCTGAGCAGGGCTGCAAGCTTGCCGGCTCCCTCTCCCCTCCCTCAGCCTCTGCTCTCCCTAAGTCCTTCTCCATCCTGGGGGCGAGTACAGTACACCTGGGCCGGGGGGGGGGGGCGTGTGGGGTGAGGTTGGGACAGGGGGCCCGTGAAGCTGGGTGCTAGACACGCTCATCTAACAGGAAATAAAAAATAATATTCTGCACGTCAGAATGTGTTCGCTTTTTTTATAATTTCATAGCTATTTTTTTCACAGTTTTAAAAAGTTTATATTTATATATATTTATATATATTTATCTTTATATATATAATTAAAAAGTTGACTCCATTTGAAGGCGTATGATACAGGGGAGAGTCTCTTGGTACAATAAAACTGTACAGGTTAAGAACTGCCGCCTCCCTCCGGGTATGGCCGGGACGAGGATTTCAGCACCATGGGGGTTGTCTGTAGTGTGAGGGTCTGGACCAGTGGGGTGGGCCCTCCCGGGGCCTCGGGGCACGCAGCCCCCTCCCCCTGGTGCCTGGCCGGTGCTCCTGGGCACCCCCCCCCACACACACACACCTGGCTCTGTTCCCCAAGTCCAGGCCGTCCTGAGAGGGTGGAGGCCGGGCCCCAGGCAGGCACCCCAGAACAGGCCCGGCCTGGTCGCTGAGGCTGGGGGGGCATGGGAGCGCCCCCATCCCACGGTGGGAGGCTCGGGGCGGGCTCCGTGCCGAGGGGGCCAGGCACTGGGAGGACCCCCCCCCAAGCGAGCATCAGGTGGGTTGGTCGGAAACCCCCTCCCACCGAATCCCCAGTTGGCACCGGGACCTGGCTGAGCGCTTACAAGGTGCTGGGACCCGTGAGGGGCCGGCAGAGCCCTACCCTGATCGCGAGGAGCCCTCTCGGGGGGGCACCGAGGAGTCAGGAAGGGGGTCTGGACGTGTGCACATGTGCGCACACACGTGCATGCATACGGGCACACACATGTACACTTACGCGCCAGGCTGTCCGTGGGCACACTTGCATGCACGCAACCAACGCACGAGGCCGCCGAGCCGTGGCAGTGATGGGGAGGGCCCCGCCGGGCCGGGCGCTCAGCAGAGCACAGGCACGCCATCGGTAGAGAAGATCATGCCCGTGGTGGGCTCGTAGGTGCCCGCCAGGTAGTACAGGCCCTCGCTGTCCTGGTACTTCTTGGTCTTGAGCATCTGCTCGTACTGCTCCAGGCCCACCACCAGGCACTTGTGCGACACCGTCTGCACGTCGTTCTCGTCCACGTGGGAGGACTGGTACAGGGCGCGCTGCGGGCACACGGGCGGGCGTCAGGGGGAAGACCCCTCCCAGACCCGAAGGACCAGGGAGAGATCCCCAGAGAGAACTCGAGAAACACAGTGGGGCTGAGGACGAGGATGGACAGAGACCAAGGGAGACACCCAGAGACTAGGAGATCAAGAAACAGACACAGAGACCTGCAGAGTAAGAAACCAAGGGTGACAGACGCAGAGGCAGCGGCTGGGAGAGACCAGGAAACAGCAGCTCAGGGTCAGAGAGACTGGGCGGGGAGGCCGAGGGAGCCCGGCCCCTCCCGAGGCCGCGTGGGGAGGGTCATCGGAGGCCCCACCGGTGCCGCGCGCTCTCCTACCTCCATGAAGTCCTTCCTCTGGCTGGAGGCTCGCAGGGCTGCGGGGAGGCTGCGGCCGGGCTTCTGGTCCCAGTGCTGTGAGCACAGACCGGGGGCTGCGGTGAGCCCGGGCCCCGCCTTGCCTGACCCCCGACCCCGACCCCAGGGGAGGGACCGCCCCGGCCACGCCCCCCAGCACGGCCCGACGCCGAGGCCCCGGCCCACCTGGCCCTCGTGGAGGCGCTTGCCCGGGCTGGTCTCCTCGGGGTGGTAGAACCACTTGACGCGGACCACCATGTTGCTGCCCCACGACTCCCACATGCTCTGGATGCGGCCGATGTAGGGCAGGTTGGGGCGGCCAGCCGACAGGAAGACGGCGCAGTCCCCAATGCGGATCATCTCCTTGCCGCGCACGATGGCCTTGTAGAAGAGCTTGCGGGCCTTGCCCTTCATGCCACGGCGCTGTGGGCGGGCGAGTCGGGTCAGGGCACGCGCCCCGCCCCCGCCCCCGCCCTCGCCCTGACCCCGGGGTTCCACAGCAGCGGCGCCAGGGGAGAAGCCTCCTGCTTGCTCTGATCGGGGAGCCCTCGCTCATCCCCTTGGCCGACCGGGTTTCCAAGAGAGACTCCACGTGAACTAAGGACCCTGCAGCTGGGAGCGACTTCCAACTCCCCGTTGCTGAGCCGTGTCGGCCAACGGTGCCGGCGGGGCCCCAGGGACGCCCCACACGCGAGCGTTTGTGCGGCAGACGCCACAGCCACTGCTGGGGCCCAGCAGGATCCCTGCTCCTCCCACTGGGTCCTGACACCAGCCCTCGAGGCACAGCGGCCCCTGTTGGCCCCCAATTTCCAGACAGGGACCGGGAGGTCCCAGGAGGGGACACGGCTGCGTCTCCGGACAGAGCACATCGCTCCCCCCCACGCTGCCCCGCACGTCGGAGCTACAACGAAGCAGGTTCACTCAACACCTGCCGAGGTCACAGAGCCTCTTGCTCACGGCACAGCCTCAGTCTACACCACCCTGAGCAGCGCGGGGGCTCAGTACCAGTCAGCCCCGCAAGCGTCCGAGCAGAGGTGAGGGAGTGGGGCGTGGGCAGCGTCAACCCCCAGGCACGGCCGATTGCCCCGCCCCACCCCCCCACCCCCCGCCCATTTCCCCAGGAAAGCCACTAACAGATGAGAGCCCAGCCCGGCGGGATCCAGCACTGGGCCCACGTCTGCCAGACCCACAGTGTGGCTGGATCTTTTTTTAATTCACTCAACAAACATTTCCTGAAGCCGCCTCAGTGCCCCCGCCTGGGCTGGCACTGGGACACACAGATGGGCAGGCTCCAAGGAGGGAAGAGACCAGCCACCAGAATCCAAAACCCAGCGCCAGGCAGCTCTGGGACCTGTCGCTGTCCCCAGCCAAACACGGAGAAGCCAGGCCTATGCAAAGCTCTGCTCTGCCCTCCAGTGGAGCCAGCGCGCCTTCTCCTCGACTAACCTGTAAAACTCGTTTCCCTTCTCGGACTGGCCACTAGGCGGCGCCAAAGCGTTTTTTGTGTTTCCTTTTTTGTCTAAACAAGAAAAACCCACAGGCTAATTTCCTACCTTATCCAGCTGTCCCTTTTCTACTTTTAATTCACTGGATCCCTGGTGAGACTTTTTTTTTGGCCACATCGCAGCAAGTGGGATCTTAGTTCCCTGACCAGGGATCAAACCCGTGCCCCCTGCAGTGGAAGCATGGAGTCCTAACCACTGGACTGCCAGGGAATTCTGTGACAGACTTTTTAATGTCCAGGTTTCTTAGGGGTTCTGTAAACTGCTCAAATTATTTTCAGCTCAAAGCATGGTACTAACTGATTCAAGGTGACAGGGACGGCTAAGATCTCTAAACCAACGCAGCTGACAGCAGGTATGTTTCTAGGCATCCATGGCCACTCTCCTCACAGATCCCCCTTGGGCCCCTGGGGCCAGTACAGGACTTGGTCTGGCCAATCCAAACATCCCATCCTTCTCCTGGCCATTGTGACTGGCTCAAGGGTGCACCCGGGACCTAAGCCAAAGACGCGCCAGCAACTTCAGCTTGAACCCTAAAAAAGACACCTCCTTCCTACTGTCACTTCTGAGCTGGCAGAAGGTCAGCTGAAAGCTGCTGGGGCTGCCTGTTGCCAGCAGGAGAGGGGCTGCCGGAGAAGGAGACCAGTACAGAGGAAGGGAGGAGAAACTCAAGCCTGGAGCACGAGCCCGAGAGTGGGTCTGAAGACAGCCCTCAGGCCCCTGGATCCAGCTGTACCTGAAGCCGGACACCCTAGACTTTGGCCCTGGGCTCTGACCCTACAGCAGCAAACGCCCCGAGCAACGCTGACCCTGGCACGTGGGAGATGCTAAGATAAGGAACTGGCCAATCCCCGTGGGGGCAGGACAGTGAGGACACCCCTGTCCTCGGCTCAGAAGCCATCACTCCTTGATACGGCCCTGGATACAGTGCCTGCTGGGACCAGAGCTCCAGAGGGGCTGGTCTGGAATGTCTGAGTGCGGCTCGTCAGGGAAGATTCTACAAGAAGCTACACATTCAAGTTTGCTATCTCAAGTGGTGGCCCTGCTAAGAGAGGCCCTTTCAGCCTGGAGCCAGCAATCGGGGGGTGGGGGACGCACGTAAAGTCCGACAACTCACACCTTGCAGGGTCGGAGCAGCAGATCATCTGCCCCAGATTCAAGGCGGTGCCGCAAAGGCAGGGAAACCAGAAGGAGAGCAGGAGCTGCGGGGGTCGGGGGGGACCCTCCCCGACTTCCCACTCTGCAGCCCTTGCCTGACCAAGGGGGGAGTTCCCCACCCTATTCTAAGGAGGCTTTGAGGGTGCAGCCTGTGGCAGGTGGAGTTGTCCACCCACCAACCCCCCGGGGATCCAACTGACCCTGGGTGGCACAGTGGGGAGCCCTAAAAGGCTGCTGCTAAGACAGAAACCCCCAAGCTAGTCTTGATTCAGAACATCCTACAACTTCTCCGGCCCTGCTAACGCAGCCAGGGAGCTGACACAGTGCAAACATGCCAGAAGCTTCTTAAGCGGTACACTGCCAGAGGCCCCGCAAGCTCATCGCTGCCAGCCCCCAGCCCCTAAAACCTGCCTGGCGGCACCGGCATTAAAAAGGTCCAGACCCAGCCAGGTGCCTCCTCCGGGCCTGGCTCTGGCGTGGCCTCGGAGGACCGTGGACCAGGGCGGCAGACGCTGTGGGGAAACCAGACGGGCTGCACCCGTAGACAAGGAGCCTGGCTCTTCCTGCCCAGGGGCATGGGATGCACTGGTGGCCTCCAGGCTGTTCCCCTTCTGCACACAGAAGCTTCTCGTGTGTGCGTGTATATGCAGGTGCATGCACGTGTACATGCACGCATTTGTGTGTGTACACGTGCATGTCTGCGTGTGCCCAAGGCATGGGGGGGCATGGAGGACTCCTTCTGGAGAACAAACACCCACCTACTACAGGGGTGGCCACATGACTCAGACCCAGTCAACCAGAACGTTCTGCCTTGTGGGCCACACTGATTAGCTCAGGGGCAGGCAGTGACCCAGCCCGGCCAAGAGAGGGAAAGAAAGTACCTTCTGCTGTGACTGCTAATTAGCCAGCCAGAAGCCTTGAGCCATTCGTTTTCAGCAGAAAATGAAGCAAAAGCAAAGAAACTCAGGCTGTGTGGCCGCGCGGTTCTGAGACCCTGCGGCATGGCAGCTGAAGGCCTGCGCGGTAAGTGGGTCCCGCAGAGGGTGGGTCTGGGTCCCGGGGACCAGAGGCAGTGCTGCTGTGTGAGGGGCAGGACTCTGGGGGAGTCAGACGCACTCCACACCCGTCACCCCGACTCTCCGCCGTGGGGCTGCTGGGAGGCCAGAGAAAGACACGTGGGGACGACCCCGCCCCCAGCTACCTGCGTGGGCTTGCCGAACCACTTCCAGAGCTGCCGGGCGGGCAGGAAGGCGGCGATCTTGGGCCGGTTCTCCACCGACGGCAGGCGCTGCCGCTTGGCCAGCTCCTTGGTGGTGGGGAGGTGGACGCCCTCCCTCTTCTTGGGCCGGCTCTTGGCCCCGGCCTGGGCCTTGGGCTGCACAGGCTGCGGGGGCTGCGGCGGGGGGGCCTGGGGCGCGGGCGCCGGCGCCTTCTTGCCTGCAGAGTGGGCCGAGGAGCGGGCCTTGGCCGCCTGCTTGGGCGCCTTGCTGGCGAGGGCCGGCGGGGCGGAGGGCCCGGCTGCCGGGACAGGGGCGGCCTCGTCGTCTGAGCTGCAGGAAGAGTCGTCCGTGGTGGAAGAGGACGAGGACGAAGAGGACGACGACGAGGAGGACGACGAAGACGAGGAGGAGGACGAAGAGGACGAGGAGGACGACGAGGACGAGGAGGACGACGATGAGGACGAGGAGGACGAAGAGGACGACGAGGAGGACGAGGACGAGGACGACGAGGAGGCCCTCGAGCTGGAGGCGCTGCAGTTCCGGCCGCCGCCGCCCTGGCCGTCCTCCTCTCCCTCCGTCTCAGAACTGCTGCTGCTGCTGCTGCCGCTGTCGCTGCTGCTGCCGCCGCTGCTGCTGCCGCCGCTCTCTGACTCCTCGGCCCCGTCCTGCTCGGCCTGGCCCTTGTCCGGGCTCTTGGGGCTCCCCGAGTCCTCGAACGTGAGCGCGGCCCCAGGCTCCTGGGCCAGGTCGCCGTCCCCCGCCTTGGGCCGGGCCGCCTTGGGCTCGCTGCCGCCGGCCCCCGGAGGGTAGCTGCCCAGGCCCAGCAGGCCCTTGGGCTCCTGCCAGCCCCCCGCGCCAGCGTCCTCCCGCAGAAGCAGGGCCTCTTTGGCCTTCTTGCTTTTGGGTGACGTCACGCCCTCACGGTCCAGCTTGACGAGCAGCTCGGCCTCTTCCCCGGGCCTCCGGGCGCCCTTGGGGGCCGACTCCTCAGCAACCCGGGCCTTCTTGGGCTTGGGGCGCGTGGCGGGCATGGTGATGGGCATGGCGACGAGGGCGGTGGGGGCCAGGGCCGCGGCGGGGGCCGGCAGCTCCCCAAAGGGCTCGGGTGCCGGGCAGCTGGTGAAGGCGGACGGCGCTGGGCTGGGCTGTCGGGGAGCTGGGCGAGCCTTGGGGGCCTTGGCCCGCTTGTCCACAGATTCTGGGGGACTCTTCTTGGAACCTGGGGTGCTGATGGGCTCCAGGGCCAACGGGGTACTGGGGACCTCATCCGTCGAGCCCCCCTCCTCCAGGACGGCAGCTCTGTCTAGAAGAGAGAAGGAAACAGCCCAGTGAGGCCAGGACTTCGTGACCAGCGAGCCCGTCCCCATCCCGGCTCTGCCGGGTCCTGAGCGGGGCTGGGGCGGCAGCCTCTCGGGGCCTCGGGACGAGCAGCTCTCGCGCCTTAGTTGTCCACACGTGGTGGCCCCAGAGTGGCCCTCGGGAGCCTGGGATCTTAACCCAAAGCACTTTGCTCTGGAGGGAACACAGCTGGCTGGATCTCAGCTCTGCCTCTGACAGGTCAACGCACCTCCCTGAGCCTCAGTTTCCTAATCTGTCACAGGGTCCAAATAGCCCTGCAGCGCCAAGTTCCCGCACAGGTGGGGAGCGGTGTCTGTGCATAGACCCTGTGTGAGCAGCAGGCCCCAGGTCCCGGCGGCCCGGGCACGGCCAACGTACCGCTCTTGGCTTTGGTGCTGGGCTTCCGCCCGCGCCCCCGGGCCTTGGCGCCGGGCTCCTCGGACCCTGGCGCGGCCCCGTCTTTGCTCTCCCCGGTGTCTTTGCTGGTCTTCCGGCTGCGGCGCTTGGCGCTAGGCACCAGGAGGGCGGGGGATGGCTCAGCACCTGTGGGGCAGGACAGACAGTGGCTCAGGCCCGGGTCTCCACTCTCCTGGCCACAGGAGTGTCATCTGTCATGGGGAGGAGGCGGGGGGAGGAACCAGACGACACTGCGTGGCCTGCCCACCTAGGCTGCGCAGTCGGGTGGGAGGCCCATCTGCAGGGACGTAGCTTGGGTGTCTGCACATGCGTGCGACGGGGGCTCCTCGAATAAATGACCAGGGTGGGGCTGACCCTGTGGCTTTAATGATCCATTTGGAGGGTTCACGAAAACACTGGACCCCTGGAAGTCAGGCAGTCCTGGGTCCGAGTCCCGGCTCTGCCTCTGACCAGTCAAGGGACCCTGGATAAGTCATTTCACCTCTTAAACCCGAGGTTCGTACTGGCCAAAGGGGATGGTATTTCCAGACACACACGACTGGACAAGAACGCGATCATGGACACAGCGTGGAACCGTCCATGACAGTTACCGATCCCCCCCTGGCCTGGACTGCCCGGCCTGGGCTGGTCTCACGCGTCTCGGGGTGCAGATCTGGGGAGGCCTGGGATTCCCCCCTCCCGAGACCATTCTGGGAGCCCCCACCCACGCTTTCTGCCATTTCCACCCGCTGTGGGTGCAAATGGTCCAAACAGCAGACAGAGCCCAGAGCCAGCCTGCAATGGGTGGGCCCCCGCCGGGCGGCAGGACCACCACTCACACTGGATCTTGTAGTCGGGGGGCAGGAGGCGGATGTGCGAGAGGGGGATCCTGCCGGTGTCTCCGTCATCGAACTCCACGGTGATCAGGTCCCCGTCGTCCTCAAGGCCCAGCAAGCCTGTGGGAGGAGGGGTGGAGTCAGGGGGCCGAAGGGGAGCAGAGACGAGCCGGGAAGCAGCCCCAGGAGCAGCATGCAGGAGGGCGGGTGCGCAGCGGGCAGGACGTGGGCTTCAGAGCCAGGCGGTCCCGGGAGCACCGGCTCCCAGTCCAGCTGAGCGCACGGCCGTGTCCACTCGTCCCGAGACCCTCCGCAGATCAACGAAGGATGGGGCTGGGGTCACCCCAGCCCCATTCCCAAGTGCTGGACACTGAGCCCTGAGGCTGGAGCCGTGGGCTATCGATGAGTGAAGAGCCGCAGGTGCTGGTACTGGTGTCCCTAAACAAAACATCCCCCCCCAGCCTTCAGGAGGCCCCGCCCACACACAGCGTCCAGTCTGCTTGCTGAGGATCACCAGTGACGAAGGAACAGCCTCCAACAAAGGACAGCACAGAACAGAGAGGCACAGACACACAGCCCACAGGGAGAGGAAGGGAAAGGCAGAAGGAAAGGGAGCTGAAGGAACCTCAAATGGAAACAATATGTCCCCGGAAAAAAAGGAATCCATGAGAACAAAAAGAGATCTAATTTAAAAAAAAAAAAAAAGAATATTTAGACAGTAAGAAAGACCTCTTAGGGATACTATAAACGACAGCAGAAATATCCAAAATTCAATAGACTAGAAGGGCCAGAGAGCAGAGGTGAGGAAATCTTCCGGAAAGTAGAACAAAAAGATTTAAAAAGATTTAAAAAATGGACAAGAATGAGAAGAAAGATCCTAGTCTTGAGGGCCACCAGATGAGTGTGAGTTCCAGGAAAAAGAGGGTAAATGAGGGAAGGAAACTCTGCAAGAAGTAATATGAGAAAAATGTCTAGGAACAAAGGAAATCTGCTTCCGAATCAAAGCCCCCTTCCCCCAAATACCCAGCAACACACACCCACACCCACACCCACACCCAGAGAGAGAGAGAGAGAGAGAGAGAGAGGGAGAGAGGGAGAGGAGAGAGAGAGAGGTGGAGAGAGAGAGAGAGAGACAGAGAGGTGGAGAGAGAGAGAGAGAGACAGAGAGAGAGAGAGAGAGAAAGACAGAGAGGGGGAGGGGGGAGAGAGAGACAGAGAGAGAGGGAGAGAGGGAGAGGAGGGAGAGGGAGAGGGAGAGAGAGAGAGAGAGAGAGAGAGAGAGAGAGAGAGAGAGAGAGAGAGGTGGAGAGAGAGAGACAGAGAGACACAGAGAGAGAG